GGCAAAAGCACGGTGGAGATGATCCCGAATCCTTCTGCCAATCCTGCTGGAAGACATTGCAATGAAGCTGTCGACGAGATTCCAGGTATGCAATAATACAAAACAAAAACGAAACATGTACATTACCCAGTCGATCCAGTACGTTACCCTACCCCGCAACCCGTGGAATTTTTTTTTCTCCAGTCGATCTGAGGGACATTTTTTTGCAGCATAAAAATTTATTAAATGTATCAACGAAGTCTGTTATCTTCATTTGAATTTTTGGAAAGATAACGTATGGCATTTGAAATTATCAAATGAAAAACAAATTGGCTTTCCTTCTAATAACACTTCAGAGAAATTTGTATACCTGCTGAAATAAATTATTTTTATTTATTTTTTCTGAGAAACCTTTCCTCAAGCCTACCTTTATAATTTTCTGATGACATTCCATTATTGCTGCTTCATTGCTTTTTAATTTTTGGGAAAAAAGCAGAAAATCTTTAATCCCTGTCATAAAGTCTTTCAAGCAAAACTGTTTTGAGTCAGCAAAAATTTAATGAAACTCTGTTGGTCTGCACAAAGGGTTTGGGAAATTTGATGGCCCAAAAAGTTAGGGAACACTGAGTCCCAGTCTATAAATGGCTATAGATGTTCTCGCCAAAGCTGATCAATCGTGACGGAATGTATAATTATTTATATGGTAACGCATGTAAATAACATTTACTCACGCAACTGTACCAAATGTGCCTTCGCAGCACTCGCAATGAAGAACAAAAATTCGGAAAAGAAGTCATGCAAAACGTATATGATATTTTCGGATTTGTGCAAAATTATCTTTGCACGAAAAGTATTATGCATGTTCCACAATAAAAGGGGAAAAAATATACGGAAAGCTTTTCCAGCTCTTTTCAAATTCACACGAATATATCATAAATTTTTAATTCTCATCATGCATTGTTGATTTGGTCTTGAACTCTTGAGAGCTCTCAAGAATCTTTTAAAAATACTGCCTAATAAATTATATAAAAAAATTCATGCCATGTTTTTTCACAGGTTTACGAATGTTGGAAATATTTAACTACTCCGAGCATTGAAAAAACTTTTGTACATGCACCGATCCGTCATCATTGTTTTCTTGGCATTCCACGTTAGTTTTAATTTTTTTTCCAATCTCTCAAGAATAAAGAGGCTTGTTTTCAATCCAATTATTTCAGACAGAATTTTATGTGGCGAATGAGAATATTATTATTTTTTAAATCTAGTTGCATTGATCAGCTTTTATTTCTTATATCCGTGGCAAAGACGAATTTTTGCGGAGAATTATCGAATCCTACAAAAGTTTACCCACTTATATTCCATCCATCAATAAGGTGAAGTGGATATACTGTTTATTCATGCTATATTTAGTAGGATAATTTATTCGAACCTTGAGACCAATTTTTTGTTTTTACACTGTCGTGAGAAAAATGCTTAGTTGAAAAAGAAAAAAAAATTGGATTTTTTCGGCTGCAAGCTGATCAGCGTACTTTTTTCGGGCATCAAGTTTTCAAATATACTGTATCTCATTTTTGCCACCCTGGGGTCAAGGAGCATGATTGATGCAAGTGTGGATAATAAGAGGGTCTTGCTTTGAAACCAAGTTCCTCATCATCCTTGAATAACATGCATGCGTATCAAAACGCTTTTCGAGGCGAGAGTCAGAAAAAATTCGTCCGAACCCCGAAAAAACTCTCGTTATGCATCCGCGTCATAGTTCACCTCGTGTAACACAGATGTCGCTCGGAAACCCGGTCATTGTGTCTTTTCTCCTCTCATAGACGTGTACAAGGCGTATTACGAACCCGGTCGCTTCCAGGAGCTGCTGCACTTGCGGCTCATGAACCTGTTTTCCCGACCCGGGTCTGCTTCTGCCGGGAATTCGCCGGGTTCGCCTGGGTCCAATCGCCACGCGAAACCCAGGGGTTCCACAAACGAGCCAGTTTTCAAGTCCGGAGATGGAGGGACCACCACCAGGAAAAGGTCGGCTTCGACCCCGGGTCGTTCGTTCTTCTCGGTTTCTTCGAGTCCCACGAGAAGCAGTGAATGTAAAATGAGCTAGTTTCCGGCCAAATATACACACACACACACACAAACATGAAATGATCTCATACTTACATTGGAAATGGCCTCAATTAATCTCACTTAAGCATTTTTCGAGAGTGTCGTGAAATGCCCGCTATATAGAAAAGCCTTTGAAATCTGATATGTTTTTTTTTCTACAGATTTTATTTTTATTTTTAGGTGTTGCTTTTGTCGAGATATTAAGCTCCAGATGAGAGTGCTCGTTCCGCCCGTGATTTGGAAACCTCTAACCCACGATTTCCTCACGATCGAGACGCGTTAATTTGGGGTAACCTTGGTTTATAACAGGAAAAAAAAAACTTTATATGTTTACCTTCTTAAAATTCGATTTTTTATATTCTGCCCGCACGTGAAGAACGTCACTGAATTTTTTTCTTCTTCTTGACCGAGCATCAATTTGCTGAGCATAAATTCTTATACATCCCGCAAAGAACCCATTATTGGTCTGATATAAGATTTCAAATCAGTCACACAGCTCACTCTGTTCCAGAGCATCGCAATTCGCTGCGAGTGAAGGCCAGAAAAATTCCGAAAAATTGCATTAACCGCAAGATGAAAATTTTTTTTTGCACACTTGAACAAGTCATGGGTGCTTTAAACGCGAAAATGCTTGAAGGAAATCAATCGAGGCCACGCGATATGATGCTGAAACGACTTGCGTAATTTCGAGCGATGGTTGAGCAATGTCTCATCGTGTGGCATCTTTGTGTTCAAAGGCGAAAACACTTTTTCTTCTTTTTTTATATTTATTTCGTGGGAATTTTTTTTTAAGAAGGTCTGTTTTATTGTGAATATATTATAACGTGAGAAATTATATCCAGCAGAAGGTGAATCGCATATCAATATTTGAAAGACTTATGTTCCATTTTTACGTGTCTGCATTTATTGCGACACACGGGAACATTTTGGAGTCGTTTCAAAAAATAATGGATCCTATATATGATTCAATATCGGGGTTCTTCATGAATTTTTGGAAGCCTTGAAATGTTCTGGATCAATATGAAGGCTAATGAAATTTATTTCCTCATCACTCAGCAGATAGAAAGGAAGGCAAAAGTGCTTTAAATTGCTAAAATATTTTCAAAATTTTAACTCCAAGGGATGCCACAATAACTTCGAAGGAATTAATTGAAAAATATTCCTAAAAGGTCGAGTTATCTGATCTGAATTGAAAAAAAATTAAAGATCTTTGACATTTTCGCGTTGAAAATTTCAAGAGGCAAAGAAATGGAAGCATGAAAAAAAACGTGGGCTTCCTTGACGTTTTATTGTCTCGATTCCAAGGTAAAGTAAGTTAGATCGCGAGAAAACGTGGTTACCAGAAGAAATTCGATTTGAAGCATGAAGAAAAATTATGAACTTTCCGTCGTAAAGTCCTCATTCTTCATTACACAGGAATTTGAATCAGTCTCAACCCGAAAAGTTCATTTTATAAAAAACGTTTCGCTCGATAAAACTGTTTTAGGAGAATCGCTCTTTTCACACTCTGAAACAGCGCAAAAATATTTTATTACTTTTTTCGGCATGGTTGACAAAAAATTAATCTGAATTAGAATAAATTACCGTAATTCAGCGACGGAAGTTCAAGTCTCTAAAAATACGTGGCTTAATTGGAGTCGCACAAAATTTTATAATTCGGATACGAAAAATTTACAATTTTTCG